GGGGGGGGGACCCAGAGACACGAGGGGGCTGCTAAGCCGAACCCTGCACAGGGCAACCAGCGGCTCATGCACTGCCCGCAGCTGGGGGGAGACACACCAGTGAGGGGGGAGCCGGAGACACGAGGGGGCTGCTAAGCCAAACCCTGCACAGGGCGGCCAGCGGCTCATGCACTGCCCGCAGCTGGGGGGAGAGAGACACACCAGTGAGAGGGGGGACCCGGAGACACGAGGGGGCTGCTAAGCCGAACCCTGCACAGGGCGGCCAGCGGCTCATGCACTGCCCGCAGCTGGGGGGAGAGACACCAGTGAGAGGGGACCCGGAGACACGAGGGGGGCTGCTAAGCCGAACCCTGCGACAGGGCAGCCAGCGGCTCATGCACTGCCCGCAGCTGGGGGGAGAGACACCAGTGAGAGGGGACCCGGAGACACGTGAATTCTCACCAGCTGCAGCTGGAGAGGGATAACAGGGAGCAGAGGAAGGGAGCTCGGCACTAGCCCAGAGACAGGGCCCCCACGCAAGGGGGCCAGGACACAGCCAGGGAACCAGGGAAGCTAGCGCCCTGCCTGGGGCCAGGAGGGCGATGGAAACGAGAGACAGCAAGGAAGACACAACTAGAGGCAGAGGGATCTAACTGCTAACTATGGGACAAGAGGCAGTCCCAGAGGCAGGGAGACAGCACCCCACGGAAGAGCTAAGTGCTGATTGGAGGGACTCAGCCAAGCACTGGCCCCCCAAGAGAAGGCACTGCCTCCACACCCCTATGGTCAGGGTCGATGGCCTCACCTGCTCCTGTAGCTCCGCCAGCCGGTTGGCGCGCTCCTCCTCCGAGTCGGAGCTCTCCTCGCTCTCCGACGAACTCTCGCTGCTGCTCTCCTCGTCGTCCTCATCCTCATCTTCGTCCTCATCCTCGTCATCGCTGGACGACTCCTCGGAGGAGGATTTCGAGAGGGCTCCAGACAGTCCGGCCGACGGCGGGTTGGTGTCCAGGGGCTCGTCCGGCATCTTGGCGTAGCTGAACTCGAACACGTCCTGCGGGAGGACGAGGGAGGCCAGGGTTAGCGGGTGCAGTGGGGACACAAAGGCGTACTGAGTCCTGGGGCAGGGGAGGGGAAGTGCCACCTGGCCCCGCTGCCCCACTCACCTGCAGCTTGCGAGCCATGGCCACGACGTCGTGGTCGGGCGGGTTGTACTTGTAGCAGTTGGAGAACATTAACCGGACGTCGGCAGCAAATTCCTGCGCGTCGTGGTAATCCCGGTTCTCCATCTTCCGCTGCACCACGGGCAGAGAACACAGGGTGAGCGGGGGTGGCTGCACCAGGGAAGGGGCACAGACCCCCCCACCCCCAAGGTTCTCCCCAGACTGGGCTGCAGCAAGGGGGCTCAGACCAGCTCATCAGGCAGTTACCACTGGCCAGAGCCTTCTAGGCACTGCTGGGGGTAGGACAGCCCCCACCGCCCCCAAGGAGGGACAGGGTCTCAGGCTGCCACAGGACGCCTGTGAGCCAGTGACGCTGCCTTCCACAGGGCGGAGATGCGGGGCGATCCCAGAGGCTCCCCAGTGGGGGGCCTGTCTCCTGCAGACCCGCACCAGGAAGGCCTCAGCTCATACCTGTACGGCACGGAGGTTTCTGGGATGCCCCCTTCCCAGGGCCAGGTCACGGGCTGCACTTCAGTGATGCCCAGTCCTCAGAGGAAGACTCCAGGACACGCCCGGAGGTACCCCAGCACCCCTTTCCCTCCCTCCCTGCAGAGCCCCCAGCCGTACCTTGATGGTGCTGAGGTCCATGGGGCACTTGATGATCTCGTGGTAGTCGTGCAGCCCCAGGGCCGAGGCGTCGACGGGCTTGTAGAACGGCCAGGCGTAGGC